CAAACACACGGATTGAGGGATAGACACGTCACAGTAAGATAGTCTTACGCGTTAAGTCCTGATTGATCTCTTTATTAAGTCAAAATTTAATATCTTCATATTCCGAACATGCTCTGGTGTATCTAATAAATTGAACCCCATAGGCCGAGGAAATTTCTGAACTGAAATCATCTCGTTTCTTATTATACAGGAACAACATTATGTAAGTGAAACTGAATAATTGTATAATAAGAAACGAGATGATTTCAATTCAGGAATTTCCTCGGCCTATTCGTAATATTCCTTTAAATGTATCATTCTAATGGGGTATATCTCAATTTATTAGATACACCAGAGCATGTTCGGAATATGAAGATATAATCTAAGGCATATTTTATCATCATGGGGACTTCACTTGAAAGAAAACATGTTGTTTTAATAAGAAAAAACCTGTATTTATACCCAGAAAGTACTCATGGTGAAAGATATGACCGTCTAAAATCACTTGCCATACTTCACATGGTCTTTTACAGCAAAACAAAATAAAACGTTTAATATACACCATTTTAAAAGAGTTGTCGTGTTTTTTAAATTAGATTTTCAATTAATCAATATCCTATATATTTGGGGCATTTAAAATATTTGATAATACAGTTTATATGCTTTGCCTATAATACATAAAAATTGACACTAAAAGGGCGCCCATATATTGAAAGCATTGTATATGGGTGCTTAAATAAAAATGAGATAAGCCTTTTAATGGTCTCTGATTTGGATTATCAAATACTTTATGAAACAGAAAATGTACAAAATAAAGTCTAAAATATAGACTATGACTGTTGTTACATTCAACAGGTTCATTTCAATTTATATACTGTCAATGCAAATGTATCATAAACCAAAGGACGGGTGTCAATAAGGGCCCTTTTTAGCCCCAAAAGATATCTGATAATAATGCATAGAATTTTGAAGAAAAATGATTTGTGCTTTATAAAATTACAATTTCAGCGAATTTTGAGCTTTGATGTTCACAGAACAGTCATTTAAAGATCATATACCATTTTTGATGTTTTTATTTATTGCTGTCTAAGTAAATAATATATAAATATAAACCAATTTAAATATATTAAAATGTAATATATGAAATACTGAAGAAAAGATACGATTAAAACTATTTTCATGGAAAAGCACATAGGGCAATATTGGCAAAATGCAAATGCTATTTTGGTAGGTTCTGGGCTAGCAATGGGTACATTTCAACTGTGACTGTGGTGGATACTATTGACTTTATCACATAACAGGGCATAATTTAAGCAATTCAAATACAAGGAAAATCAAAGATTTCCTCTCATTTCTAAAACGAGGAACAAAAGCATGAATTCAAGGAAAATTAATGATGGCCTGTGCCAAAATATAACATATGAGAAAGTTATGACACAGTAAAGGATATGTATAGGATATCATATGATTTTAAATGATTTTATCTTTATCTCCGAGTTGATATCAATATCTTGCGAAGTTAGTATGCCAATTAGCACATATATTGGTATCAATGAGTGGATTAACACGATATCACGAACGTTCATAGGATGTTCTATTTATCCCATAGTTCACCTATAAAACTAAACAAAACATATCAAAACAACATCCATTTATTCATTCATCCCCGTGATGTCATGAAATCACTATGTAACAAAACACATCATATTGGTGGTAGTTTTCAAATCCCTGGTAAAAGGTGATATCTGTGAAATATTTGCCGTATTACACAGATATCACTTTTCCCAGGCATTTGCAAAATATCATAAATATGTTTTCATGTTACCTAACAGAGCCCAACTATAGAATAAAGAATAACAAATAGGTAAATAATTGAATTACCACTCCAAAAATATTAAATATGAGGTTTTAAGAAAGAATATTGAATATGAGATTCAAAAAGTAGCAACTCATGTCTCACATTACCCAAACTCCAGATCCTCGGTGTCATATATACCATACGTATATCAATGTTATTTACAGGGAGGATTAAATATGGAGTGTATAGCAATGGTCAATACGATATTTCCAGAGGGAATACCTTTTTTCTCTAGAAGCGGAACCCAAACTCAGTCATGACATGGAAGCTAACTTTTGCAATTAATAGAAACTTGTTTTTTATTATATTTTTGTGTTCTATATTCGAGATGAAATAATATGAGATTCATTTCTACAAGAGGATGGAATGAATGTGAACTTGTATATTGAACTATACTCCTTTTCTGAATAAATAGAACAACATTTTATCCAAGCCAATTAAGAAAACCAAGCCCAATGAGTGTAATTTATGCCCAGTTAAACTAACACAATAACAACTTTTGTCTGGACTCACTTATTACGTAAGAATGAATTGTATTACCGTTTACTGCATTAAATGTCAAGTGTACTATCTGTATTTAATTTCAAATGCCTATCTTACTTATCGAATGTATACAAGAAATGTTATTTTGAAACAAATTCAGCACAACCAAAACCATGTCCACATATATGACAAATCCAAGATGGCTGCCACAATTTTAGATCCATGCACATGTGAAGAAGTTAGAAATACACATGAATCACAAGTCCCATCCCCAATAAAATGGGAAGTTTAAGGTTCTCACAGATATCAACTCTATTCCTATATACTTTATATTTGTGGTAAGGCGTGTGATCTAGGTAAACTTAGCATGTTCATATACTTCCTATCCTCTGATGCTAAAAACAGAAATAGTGACTTCGATTGAGAAAAATGTATCTTATGGGCTCCATATACATTTTGAGTGGCTGTCCGGCTTAAGTTAGATACTTCTGATAATCTGAGATTGAGTATTATGTCAAGTTTAGTCCTCAGCCTCTCATAACTGATAACTTCGAGGTAATTGTGTTGTTACTGCAAAAACTTATATTTCTTCATCACATAACTACCATTTTTTGCATCTGTCAAAACCCCTCATTTCATGTTAATTTTCAGACTTTTGCTTGTGCCATCATTAAAAATATATATTCAACTTGGTATTCAGGATATTTTAAGAACTTTTCATGAGGTTTTTTATTTTCACACTTTTGAAAAAATGACTAAGTCCGAGAATGGCCTCTTAATGGCATGTCCCCTTTGTCAATGAGATAAATAGTCGATACCGTCTCGACGATATGCAATCTCACACCTACGTCGACTGTATTCCAATGCCATCTATATCTGTCTTTTGTAAGTATTTTTAGATTTTGCTCGTAATTTATGCCTTGGCATCCATTATATTCATCACAAGTGGCCACCCCAGTATTAAAGAAGTAGGGCGCTCAACTGAGGGTGACCAACCCACAGAAAATTAGGCTTGCACCAACTTGATGAAAATGTAGAAAAATGAATCCCAGGCTTCTATTACCACCAACCGGTATAAATGTAATGTTATGGTCCCCGGGTATGGTCACATTTGCTTCGACACCGGTGCCCGGCCATTGAGTTGTTCAAACCTGAATGCAATTTTGAACAACATACCCATCGGCCGGGCGCCGATGTACTGAAAATCGGAGCAAATGTGACCACTGTGAATTATTTTATTGATTTGTGGATCATTTTTAATCAGGGACACCTTGTGGAGTGTTAAGTAATGACATCTTTTTATGAAAAATGTTCTTATTTTCTTAACATTCCATATATTATGGAAATAATCGACTATAAGTAAGAAACTGTTTTTTTATTTCATATTATGAACATTTATTTTACACATCTAGAGAGGAGGGGGTGAATGAAAAGTAATGAATCACATTACAATATGTGGTGGTAATTTAATTGGGCAAACTCAAGCAACATTTACTACAGTAAAATTTTAAATGTTTGGAACTACTTTGAATCTAAAAAATAAGCAATAAAGGACCATATTGAAACAGAATATGTAAAAATAGAAACATTTTTGCTGCACATTATGCATAACTATCTTAAATATACAACAGTTAGGACTTGTACACATGTTGCAATATAGTCATTTGATTGCTTATTAAGTTATATAGTTATTTGATTGCTTGTTAAATTCAAAGTAGTTCCAAACATTTAAAAAGATCATTTGATGATTTGGGAGTTTTGTAATCAGGTTATAGTTTTTAGGAGTGGTATTCAGTTTCAAATATTCTTTGAGTAAGCTGTTTGATTATACTTCATGCTCTCTATAATTTTATTGAGTTATGGGTGCTTAATGCAATCAATAGATGAACGCATTCTCTTCAACAACATTAATCTGCAACATAACATGTAAAATTCTTTTATATTTCATATTCTTTATTTTTAAATTGCTTTTGAAATATATAATATATATTATATTATTTGTATTTACATATTTCACATAGCCCCGGTAGTTGAGAGGGGAGTTTAGACTAATATACTAGAGACAGCAGTTCAAGGATATGACATGATATAGCATACAAAAATACAAATCACATATCAGCACCTTATTGAAATTCGAACTATTACGGAGTTCTATTCCAACATTACAAGTACTACTTTTACTATTATCTAAAAAGCACTCCTAGATGAACACAATAATAATATGATGTACAAACCCATCAATGTAAATAATTGGGTTTGTGTTAATCTGATGTTTGTGATAATATTCCATACCGAAGCATTTACTATAATTCTCTAAAAATATAAAATGTATCACCAGATTTAAAAATGATCACATAAATGCATTTTATTATGCAGTATCACATTGGCCTAACAGAATATAACAACATTTGGCAGGTAGGTATTTTAGTTAACAGTTCATGTAAGCGAATTGTAAATTGATGTGAAAGAAATATTATAGAAACTTGTTAAGGCTCTTTAATACGTTTTTGATTGGCAATCAAATTGTTGATATCATTTCTCAAATGTAAAGATTCTGCTAAATATTTTCAAAGCAATATATTGGTAGAAGCCATAATGTTATAAAGCTAGCCAACAAAATACGTATATATATATAATATATATTGGTTATGAAACTAACATCGTGGTGTAGATTATATTCTAAAAAGCACGTTTTCATTTTTACAAACAAACCAACACAGACATTCGACGTGATTGCACTTCAGCACTTGCATATCAAATTATTTAGTGACAACCAAAATTCCTAACTACTACATGTCATGTTTATTGACTTGAGCACCAGAAGGTTGGACACCAAAAGTACCACATAATGCACATCTTTAATATTGCATAGTTTCATAGTTTAGAGGTCAATATGACACATATAAACTTGAAAAGAACTGTTAAACGAACATTGTACAAAACAATAATTCACAAAGTTTCCATCCGTATCAGCTAACAATAACAGAATTTGCAAAGGTGTTCATTTTGCACACTGTCATCATTAACGTGATCTCGGACATCACAAGCTTCATTGTAAGTTGCATTTGGACAAATATCTCAAAATGCAACTAGGGGTACACAATTATACAAAAACTTGATAACGTATATGGCTGAATACATGTTACCATGTTAAACATTGCTACGATTATCAAAAATAAATTGCGCACATTATTCAATGAATTGATCCAATTTGCATGGACGATTTCAACAAGTTCATACATGACGTTTCATGTGAAGTGAAAGGTGATCACTGCGGGAGAAGGCTCGCTCACAGAGTTGGCATTGGAACGGCCGATCTCCCGTATGTTTGCGGTAATGTCGTGTAAGTTCATCAGAGCGTGCGAATTTCCAACCACATCCTTTCCAGTTGCAATGGTATGGCTTTTCTCCCGTATGTGTTCGCATATGTGCCTTCAAATGGGAGCTTTTTGTGTATGTTTTGCTACAACCATCGTACGAACATGTATGTGTAGTTTGACGCTTACGACCCCACGTACGTCGACCACGTTTCTTTGGTTGCACACCGTGCAATAAGTCTATAAGCTGTGGGGAGGATGGAGGTGTTATCATTTGCTGAGTGAAATGTCCTAAATGTTGACCAACGTGTGCTTGTTGACGCATTTTAGATATGAGATGTGGCGGCAGGGTCATCTGTGGTACCATTTGTGACATGTCTATGGGTAGGTTACTTGTATTGTTTGGGGACGCTGGGGGAGTAGTGTGCCCCATGAGCATGTTTGGATTGAATGGCGTTGAGTTGGGAATGATTGTCATGTTTGCGTTGTAGTTGGCACATGGTGAAGGCATGGCTTGGAACTCTTGTTTAATAAATGGCATTTCGTCACCTTCATACTTGATGTCGGGAATGTCTATGAAGGCAGAAGTAAAGTCTGGCAATTGAAGCATTTTTCTGTCGGGTGAACACGCTAAGCTGGCACCTTGCGAGCATAGTGAATTGTTCTCCATCACCTCTTGCTTTATGTTCTCTGGTTTGATGATCTGATTGTCTTCAGGGTAAAGACTCTTCTCCAAGATAAAGTCAAGATCAAGCAAATCATCATAAGCATCTCCCATGTTGGAGCTCGTACTGACGGAAGAAGGAGAGTGTGGGCTGTTGAGAGACGTAACAGTACTGCTTGGTGATAAGGGGCTGCTACAGGTAGATAAGCCCGGACTTGGAAGACCACTGTTGTTCTGTAGTGCGGCACCATCAGTACCCTCAGCGTACAAGAAGCTCTCAACATCTTGCCACATCTGTAATGCATGAAACAAGTACGATTAGTTATGTCATTCCCGTTTTAATAATGTAAGTATTATATAGTACAAAACGATGGTGCGGTACTTGAATATATGCCAAAGTAATTATTTTTACTTCATATCACTCAATGATCACATACACTACACATGGGACCCATTTCCATGGCGATAAATTGAGACACGTTGGAAACTCAATCCGTGTCAAACAATTATTATTTTACGAGAAGACAATATATAATTGGATAGCTAAAGCCACCTGTTGCATTGTCACATGTTTAATATCGAAATGTCTCTAGACATTAATAATACCGAGTACAATATTACAATAGTGTAATGTGCGATCTGTTACCGCAATATGTAATAATTAGGGTATGTATCAGAATGTTCAATTTACATTAAAATTTATTCAACTTTCATTTATTACCCGACAATAAATCTTTTTATTGCATTCTGAAAAAGGTGAACCGTATCTTGGGACCTCATTATAGTATTACTACTACTATATCTAGTGTTTAAATAATGGTGAAAACAATTAAAGGTACTCTTAAATAAATATAGCGTATACTTTAATAATGCCCTGTATGTAATATGTAATATGGAGAACATGAAGACAACATGATGCCAAGTGTTATTAATCAAGAATAACACAATATAACAATATCCCGGGGCTATATGTGGCACCAGCGTGTATCTTCTTAATGAATTAGTGCTTCCTACACCATACATCATGCTTGTAACATTACTATTGCCAGAGGCTAACTTATATTAATTGATATCTATTATGACAAGTTCTAATGTAAATTCCAATGTGTATTATTATGAACTCTGGATTTAATCATCTTCATGCAATAAGACAATTTGACCTTGTTTTACATAGATAAGACACAAAAATTATTTGATGTATTACTACCAACTGACTACTACCCCCCCCCCTCCCCTCCGTGCCCCAGTCCATCATTTCCATCTGTTTAAGTACCCCAAATTATTTTCTTCTGATTAAACACATGAACACATTAACAGTACTTGTGATATAATTCAATTAAAACATTCCATTGATGTTAATGAAATCAATATGGCTATATTTAATTAATTTGCATTTCTTACGTCAACTTATAAGTTTAAAAAGTATATGTTTTAAGTTTACTTACCGTCGCCAAATCTAACTGTTCTACTTCGTATTTCGACAGTAGGCTCGAACTGCTTTGAAGGTTAACGTTAGTCGAAGCTAACAAGGGATCCATCACTTGTGTCATCTTGTTTCAGTCGATATTATTATTGTTTATCATGTGTTTTTTCTCGATGCAAAAGTTATTCCTGCTTCATGTAAAGCTGATAATGTTATATTACCGAATTGTAAGGTTCCCGCACTTATCAATGGAATGCCTCATTACAAAATCTGTTATGCCACGTGATCGATTGCGGCGCATCGATTGGCTGGATAATTGATGATATGCCATATATGGAGAAGTATGAATAATTCAACAGCTGTGCTATTTTTAGACTCCTATATAAAGCAGTTTGCTAGCGGTGAGCAATGGCAGTCTATGCGCTTGCGCTGAATGGGGAACTACTCACGATAAGGCTCTCGCCATGTAAACTCAAATGTAAACATAGCAACAAGTACTGAGGCATTACAACACCGTTCACATGATTTGAAGGTTGTTGACTTGTTTATTTATGATCAGTGAAGCCTTGACATAAACAATTTTCAGTCTTTTCTCGACATTTAATGCAACTCTATTGTTAATCCGTTCACACAGGGTTAATAACCGTTCTAAGGAAATGAAACAGTCCCAACCCGGTCCCAGGTATGTCATTACCGTACCCTTGTTCTTTATCCTCTGTTTGAAAAATAATTAATCGTGATCTTGTGTTGACTATGGACATGATTCAACTCTTGATAATCTTATATAAAGGGGACAACAATTTCCCATTGAATGACCTGCAATGGTCCGAATCAGGCACAAATGGGAATACGGTTGCAGTTCGGCCATAATACTTATAGCGCAGTCAGTCAGCCAGCCCCCAGCCAGCCAAGTTCGCAGACTTAGTTGTGCTCAAGAGAAAAGGATACCATTATCATCAATAATCGAATTAGTGACTTATGGCCTGTCAATCATTAAACTGGGATTATCTGATTACTAATGTTATTTCAAACCATTATTCTGTATTAGATCAACAATTCTTGAGTCAAGCTAACTTGACGCAATGCCCTTTTATATACGATCATGGTACCCTACACTTCACTTTCACAAGTTAATACGGGGGCTCTAGCCGATACCAGAATGGAAGGGGGGGGGGGGTAGAGCAGGGGCGAAGAAAACTATCAGGGGGAGGGGGTCACATTTCAAGTGTGAAAATATATTTGCGCGAAAACCAAAGATTGGGCGCAAATTTTGATGCCCAAAAATGAAGGCCCGTTTTCTTGATAAGGCCTAAAATTGAAATAAGGCCCAATAATGCCCAAAAGGCCCTCTACTTGGGGTCCTAAAAATGGCCCAAAATTTTTTTCTTCGGGGGGGGGGGGGTTGGGGCAGATCAGCCAGCGGTAAAAGCTCCGTTTCGAGAAGAAAAATATATTTTATCAGTAAGCAGTATCCTTGGTCTAAGAGTATTTCACTTCTTTTCTGGTATGGAGGTATGAATGAAGCATATTCAATTCTGGTCATTAACATGATTAAGGCCTGTAAAAGCAATGGTACTATAAAGGGAACCTTTACTTCTGTCCCACTGGCGAAGAGGGATAACTAGTACCGGCAACTAAGGTTTACAAATAAATACACAATAATGTTTGTATAACTATTCTGTAAATATTGTTCTTTTCTTTATCCTTGATTCAACAAAGACCGTAATAGAAATACTCCAATATGGACTTTATGATTTCCGCAGTTTAGTATAAACCTAGGATGAAGAAATCATCCTAGGTATAAACTAACAGTAGACGTGGTAGACGAAGCGATATATTTTAGTAGCAAAATCAAACGAATGCGAAGAGTTATATAAGGACTACCTGTTGCAACAACAAGTATAAGGTCCTTAGAATCCCGGGGATTTTTTTATCTGATACATGGGAAACCAGTTATTTAACTGTGTTGAGGGTCATTATCCTTGGAAGTAGCTTCATATACATGAAGGCTATTTGTATATTAGCTGTAAATAAATTATTAATGGTAAAAATGTCCCGTTCACTGCGGTATCGTATAGTGCATGAGCATTAACTGAACTGAAAACCACTTTAAACTGAAATAAAAATGTGATAAACTGAAATGAAGTAGGTGAAGTACATCTTGTGCTAGAACGAGGTCGAAGAAGATTTCTTGTGAACAAGTTGGTTACCTAAAACAGCTGAGACAAAAGTGCGTACATACGATAACACGAGTACTTTAAAATATTGGATTTGTTTTATAAAAAAACACGATCCATACACATGCAAGAGACGAAGGTTCATTCATAAGTGATTCAGCAAAATCATCGATTGGTGAATCGACCATGTTGATTGAACTCGATGACGTAGGGGCAAACCCTGAAAAGGTCACGAATTCAGGAAAATCCTGAATAGAAAATCTTATGATTAAAATTCAATACGTAATGTTTCACAATAATTCAACACGGCATATTTTTTCAATTTTCAACAAGAATTTTCTTTTTGATTACTTTAATATCGGATACGAAGTCTTGGGAACGCTTTTATTTCATCTTTCTAGTTTTTGATTTATTTATCAATATTTAAACAAACATATGTCAAAATCATGAAAATTCTAATCACCCATTGCGTTAATTAAGTAAACTGTTGATAAGGAAATTACTCAATATAGGATATGTATTAAAACTGTGATTCTCCGCCGTTTTAATGTCTTATCAATCAATATTCAAGTAAGTACTACATTGAGATGTCCTCGATATTGCCCTTGGATCCGATTAACCACAACGACCACATATACGTTAATATCGTAAGATCCGATCAAAGCGAGACCATCCCAACTAGTGGCTTATACATTCCACAGATATAATCAGGAAGAAGTGTGGGCGACATAATCATATCCTCGGGATAATCACGTATTGCTCTTTTTGTGAAGAAGTGGGGGTAGACTATGTAATAAGGTTATGATCTGTTTTATCATCCACATAATAAGACGATAAAAGATGATGGGAGAACTAATTTACTGACGAGTCTACCCTTTTCAATAGTTTGATTTCACTTTTTAAATAGAGTACTCTCATGCCAACTTCCTAAATCCTATAGCTGCTGGACCTCAGGGTACAAGTCGTCAGTTTTGTAATGCACATACTTCTCAGTCGCTAAAATTTAGAAAAAGTTGTTAACACCTTACAAAATGTCACCACTACTAGTTGCTCACAATATTATGAGTTCAATCTTAAGTCAGATTTGAATTTCTGAGAACTTGTTAATGATTTTAAAAAACCCCGAGACCCCGAGAAGGTCATTGAAGGTGAAACCTAAAATCTAAAGTCAGAGTTGAAGTTCTGAGAACATGTAGATGATTTTGAAAAAAATCGTCAATTTGAAGCAATTTTGGACCTTTTTTACCTTGAAAAGATCTTTGAAGTTCAAACCTCAGATCTATAGTCAGATTTGAACTTTTGAAAAATTGTAGATGATTTTGAAAAAATGGTCAATTTGAACCCAGATGAAAAAAACTTTTTTACCTTTATACCTTAGGTGAAATCACAAATCTTAATCTAGATTTGAACTTCTGAGAACTTGTAGATGATTTTGAAAAAAATTTGTCAATTTGAAACAAGTTGAAAAAAGACCTTTTGACATTTTAAAGCTTTTTGACCTTGAGAAGGTCATTGAAGGTCAATACTTAAATCTAAAGTCAGATTTGAACTTCTGAAAATTTGTAGATGATTTTGAAAAAATGAAGTCAGTGTAAAAAGTCTTTGTTAAGTTATTGGAAGTTCTAAGAGACGCCAACCACCAATCGCCCGGGACCAATCGCCACCCGCCGCGTCACCACTTTTTAGTGGTGACATAATAAAGAAGTTGTCTTTAGTATGGTGTTAAATTTCACTTGGATATTTTTATGCAAATTGATTTTAGTGATTGTTTTTAGTGTTATAGTAATACATTAGTGTTAGTATCTAACCTTTGCATTCGTTCGACTTCGCTTCTTAAAAGAGGGCTTCGGCTTAAGTTCAAAACTAGTTAGTATCTGGGGTTCCAGGGTGGTTTACCTGTTTACTACACTTCTGTAGTTCAATAAACAAATTAGCTTTACTGCATTGGTATCTCTAATACGTAAAATTATTTCAAAATATACATCTTTTGAAGACTTTTGTTTGTTTACCTAACTTATGTAAATGTCAATCACTATGATATGATAAGGATCGGTGCAGAGCTCTTCAATTCGCCGAAGTCACAGATAAAGTGCAAACGACTCGAGTAATAGTACAGGACAAAAGAAGTGAACGGCTACCAGAAATATTTGAGCAGGACAAAAATCAATAAAATAACCTTAATTTTAATGGTTATATGTGATGATGGGTGCCGTAGAAGATTTACGTTTGTGTTTGATCGTGATTTTCGGAGCCTGTTTCCTTGATATCGGAAGGTTTGGCCTTTTATTTGGGTAATTGATTCAAGTTCACTGAATCAACCTGTAATTTTGTTGTCATAGTAAAAGTAGTTAGTACAATAAATTGCATAATGTCAAATCTATGTGTACGTCTTTTCATGTTTATTATCTATCATGCAAATAACTGTTGTTTAATTGTATTGTGTAATTCGGTGATTTGTTTTCTGTTGTTTCTTTTTTGATTTTCCTCTCTTTTATTCCATATTCTTGAATAAAATGTTCATTCGGCGACACTTAAAATTTTAATGGCAAATAATTTGATAAAAATGTCATGCGACGAGGCCACTCAAACGTGGGCGGAAAATCTAGAATTTTCCAGTGCAGCTAGTGTTTGGTAGCTAAACTGCCATCTTTATACGGTATGGGTAACTATAAGCATGAATCTGAGTGTATAGATATTTAATAAAGATGGCAGTTTGATAATCCGAGAAAGCTAAATACACAAACGATGCCTGACTGCCGAAATGTTGAAAAAGTGTGACTCTGACAATGCTATAAAGTATACAGCTGTGTGAGAATAGAACAGAATTAATTAACTACTAATACTTGGATTTTTCCAGTCACACAAATATTCGTTTCTGATGTACTTTTAGAAATATGTGTATTGCATGTATAGGGTTCGCAAAAACTGATTTAGTGCAGGGAAGATGAAATGTACTAATCACCAGTTAGGCCATGTGTCCAGTCATTAGTACGTTTTATCTTCCCCGATAGGAGTTGAAAAGCAAAATGCCTTTAAATGCCAATAAGACCCTGTAAACATTA